GAATCAAGGATTTACTTGTTTACATTAATTTTACATCACAAAATTATTTCAAAACTAATACATATTCTTCTCTTTGTTCTTAAAGCTCAACATCGTTTCTATATGTATTTCTCAACAATCGTCTCCAATTTAAATACAAAGATCACAAAAGTTGACTTAGTAGACCAGTGTTTAACAATAAATAACTGTAATTTTTAACTCTAGCGAGGCATGATATTTACATTGTCAACCAAGACACAAGAGCTGTAAGTACACAAATTCAATAAAGTGATAGGTCAGCAAAACATAAATCCCTCCACATGAAGGTCTTGTAAATATAAAATTCAAATCAATTGATGGCTAATCAAATGTCTGTACACAAAATTGGCGATAAATGTTGGGGAAAACAAATTATTTGAAAAGTGATTCAATTTGGCAAAGAAAATCCCTACAGAAATGTATATTTCATTTGTAAACTGCAATTGTTGTTTTGTTTTGTTTTATCTTTTTTTTTTTTAAAGAAGAGAAAAATAGTTTTTGAAGTTTACTGCCAAATGTATACTGTCTGGCACTCATCACAAATCTCAAATCTGAGCTTTTTAAAATACTGACAATCTCCAAATTATTGTAAGCTCAACTGAAACATCTACTGAGAATTTTCTAAAAATAAAACTAAAAAAATTCATTATGATGATAATCTATACTAATGTCCTATTTTCTTACAATGTTATGTAATGCAAAATATTTCCTCTTTCAACTTTCATTTTTCAATTCTTCTTATCTATTGATAAGAGAAGCTTTCAACTCCATGAAAAAAATCTTCTTTAAAAGGGGTTTGAGAGATTGTAATTTCTAAATAATTATTAAATAAATATAGTTAAAAACATAAAGGTTGATAAGAATTTCAGAAATGATAAATGATTTTTTTCAAAAAGGCAGATTACAGCTTTCTTTAATGTAAAAATACTATACACTTAGCATACAATGCACAGCAGCCATGTGGAATCAATCATATTTGAAAGATATGGTTAAGACTTTTAAGTTGAAGAAAAGGTGAACAGACAAGTTATCAACAAGACCAAGTCCTAGCCCTGCTGGAGAGGATCACCTGAATTACTTTTTTTTTTCCTCAATGTGTTCCTCAACACGCAGGATAACAAACAAGACCTGACAAAATGTTAAATAAACTTAACAAAATGCTGTGTTCAAGTCATCTGAGCAAGTCTTACCTTGTCTGCACCTTGATTATCCCATTCCTGCATCAGCCTAATTGTTACACCATTAGAATCATCCATTGCTTCCAGGTCTCTTTGAACCTCCCGCTGACAATTATTGCACAGGACAACATCTCTGCCATTATTTACCAAAATTCCACTTTTTGGTGGCTGGTGATGGGATGGAAACGATATCAACTGCTTATTTACAGCTCCAGATGAGAGCCTTGACACTTGTTTGCAACACAGATAACAGTTTATGGTTGATACCAAATACTTTCGTAGCCATCTGTTGGATTCCTCAGGAATGTCTGAACTTTCATAAGCATTCCACTGCATCATAAGGTTATGGTAACAAATCTCACAAGTAACAGCAGTTCCTTCACCATCTATAGGTTGAGCATTGATAGCAGGTTCTCTAGATGACAGGAAGGGAAAGAATGGGCCTCCATCATGAACACCCTTACCACTGTGTGGATAGGAATACAGCTTAAAATGAAGTGTCGAGTTAATACTGAGACCACAAAGAAAACAAACTGCAGAAATCTCTAGATCCTCTGTGATTGCTGGACTTAGTTTAACTGCATAAGAGCGTTCATCCTGAGGTTTTTTGCTTTGCTCAAACCCTTCCCACTCTGACCTCAGTTGTTTGTAGCATTTCTTGCAAAGAAATGTCCGACCCTCTGCATCCAGGGGTCTGCTATCTTTTGGAGGTGTCAATGATGCTATGAATGGAAAGTAGAAGTTGTCTTTGAGGGGATTGGTGTTTGGTTTAGTGTGAACAGGCCGCAAGTCAGATTCAGAACAATACTGACCACAAGTGTAGCAAGCAATCTTAGCCATTGTCTCGGTCTCTTCTGGTGTACCTCCAGCTGACTGAACCATGACCTCATTACGAATTCTATATTCCCTTTTGTCTTCACAAATCCCAGCAGCTTCAAAGTGTTTCCACTGTCTATGGAGTGATTTACGACAGCCGCTGCAAGCTCTTGTCAACCCTTGTTTTGTTAATGGCATGGCTCCCTCTGGAGTGGGCAGATTGTTAAGAAATGGATAATAGGGGTGTCCTGGTGTATGCTTTCGTGAATACAGAAATCTTCCTGATGTTGCAGGCTGTGTGACTCCACAGACAAAACAAACCATGGTTGACAGCTGAGACTGCTGCTCCCTAGGAAGGGAGGGGTCAGATCTTAATTGGTACTGTCTCTCACTCAATGGAGTGGAATTCTTCTGAAAGACTTGCCATTGACGAAATAAAAACTTTTGACAAGCTTCACAGACAAGAACTTTACCCAGGTAGTCCATTTGCTTTGCGATTGTGGGAGGAACATGTCGTGCAAGACATGGATAAAACGGTGTCTCGGTTTTAAGCTGCGGTCTTGTGTGTACACTTCTCATGAATTCTTTCGGCTTTCTCCTACTGCAGATGTAACAAGTTTCAAGGCCTACAGAACGACGAGGAAAAGCATTTAGCGGTGAATTCTCCACCAAAGGACCAGCTGAATCTTCGGAAACCGGATTAACGTTTTCCACGTCTGAAGTGGTGGCAAGAAAATTCCCTTCCGCCGGTTCACTATGAACAGCCGGATACAACTCTGAACTATCGTTATCAAATAAATTCTCTCCTGCCACTGTGATGTTGCTATTGCCAGCTATTGTTTCTTCGCCTCTCGCTAGGTTGTTCTCAACAGGGCTTTGAGGTCTCTCTCCGCTTGAATCAGGACCTGACCTTTTCAGCCAGTAAATTCGCTTTGCAACTGGAGTGGCGCTCTCTTCGAAAGCATGCCATTGTTGAGTGAGAAAGGAAAAACACACCGTACAGGAGTCGACCTGTCCGCTTGTTTTATCGACCGGTCGAGCACCATCGGCAGGCACATGATACTCCAAGAACGGAAAAAACGGCATCTTCTCGGAATTTCGAGATCTACAGTAAAGAGGCCAGTTTGCATTAAACGCTCCACAAATAAAGCATATCAATCCACTGCCACTCGAACTTAAGCTTGGCGCCGAATCGGTAGTCCTTTGATCTTTTACCCCGTTTAATTTAACCATTGCGATCAAATCAACGTACTGTAGCGCCACAGAAAAACCAAGGACCCTGCAGGAGTTTCAGCACATCCTGAAGCCTAATCAGCGCGAACACCGGGGTTCGATTGAGGAAAATGCGATTTTTGAGCAAAAAGTAGTCTCTGCTTTGTGCATGTTGTTGATGTTACCCACTATGCTTTGCCGACTTGTCCACCTGGTTCAGCTGATACAGGCAGGACACGCTACTCAAGGACATCTTCTCAAGGAAGGAAGGAAGAAGAATTTCCTTCACACCAATGGGCTTCCAAAACAAGTCCCAGGCAAAAATTGGCGCGTACTATAAGGAGTTAGCGTAAAGTACTAGCCACTGATAATCGAATCAAAATTTTGCTATATTTTTCTGAATTGTAATACGTGTCGCTTTCAAAGCGTGTTATCTCCTTTGTTTGGCGCCAAAAAGATGATCACGTACGTGTTATACTGATCGGTCTAGGGTCACAGGTCTATTTAAAAAACAAAGGTGACCAATTTAGAATGTTAACAATAGAAAAGCTTTTAACCTCACCTAGCCAGGGAAGGTTACTGAGAATCCCGCATTGTCAAAATATTTGTTATGGAAAAAAACCGGACTGATACGTGAACGGATTGTTTTAAAATTGTTTTCTTTTCTGTACAATTGTGTCTTATGAACAGTTTAGCACTTCAAATGCTTTAAAAAAATTTGCTTAAATGTTATGACGGACAACCACTTTAAAGTTGTAAGCATTTCTTCTGAACAATTGCATTTCATTAGGGCTCGAAATGTTCAGTTCCATTGATATGTGCACGTGCTTGACTCTTCCCGGAAGTGGTTAACGATTGAACGATGAGCTATGCTCTGAGCTGCAGATCGAGCCGTTTCTGGTTCGAAACGGAAACGTTATCATATAATTTGCACAATTATCTGTACATTTAGCTTGTCTTCAAAATGATTTTCGCTTTGACTTTTCGTTATAATCGGTTAGCCGGTCGGAAAAACTCGATTCTCCCCATGAATTGTTTGATCCGATGAGTCTTAATTAGATCCTTGAGAGACACGTGTTACTCAACTAACTATAGAATATGATAATTTTCGATTAGGAGAAGTCAAGAGCTTCTGAGGAGGAACATAAAAAAATGAAAGAGAACAATTGCCACCACCCTTTTGAACGTATAATCGTTCAACCAAAGGAGGGGGAGGCACTTCCGGTTTCTGAGAGATAAGCCTATCAACTGGAAAGCTCTTGTTTCACCTGAGACTGGAAAAGATCTTTAGAGACTTTTCTCAGCAACAAGGAAGGAACTATTACAGACTCTTGACTCAACATCCCAGTTTCCATTCTCGTCACAAAAAATGTTACGTGAATGCTTTGGTATCTTGTGAAGCTGGATTTTTTTGGGTCTATACCAGCTCAGTTGTAATTTCTAATCGTAGGAGAATACATGCCATTCCTGATTCATTATCTCTTTGCACGAAAAACTGTACGCTTCAGAGTGGAAAAATAACCCATGTAAGGGAAAAAACGCTACATGCCAAGCAGAGCGAAGTGAAAAAAATGTTTACAGTTTCATTCTCTTTCCTACGCTTTTCTCCCGGCCCGTGTGTTCATTCCCTGAAAATCTTCTGCGTTTTGTTGTGGGGTTTTCATTTCCACTAGGACAACTTTCGAAAGTAACCACAAACTTATTTCCTTAGTTTTCCACAGTAATGAGGTTGGGGGTTGAGAGAGTGCGTAGCAGCTCAGCGGTATTCGCTAGTTTTGGTATGCTCGATTGTAGCTCCCAAGGCCTTCCAGAAGCTTGATACTTTTTTCGGGCATTAGTTTCACGCTGTTCTCGATTAAAGTCTTCAGAGGGGTGAAATTGTAGAGAAAAGTATGACTTCCAGCGTAGAAAACGATCCAGATGCTTTGAAGATTTGCCCATATGACCCGGTCCACAAAGTGAAGGCAAAGAGATTTCCTTACCATTTGGAGAAATGTCGAAAGGTAAGGAAAAGTAACATCACTGAATTTTTAGCTTTAACCCTTTTGCTGGCAGGTTCCTGGGAACTTCTTGTTTTTGTATGACGTAAGCCGACAAATCAGGCCACAGCTCATCACATTTTAGTTTAACCCCAATAAACTATATATAATTTTAATGAGCAGAAAATTTACAATCATTTCGAGACTATTTTGTTAGATATGGGTCCTTGTGCACAGAATTTGGGGCAAGAAAGGCCGAGCATAACAAAATGTTCCAAGTGTTATTTGTTTTTCCTGCCCTTATAAGACAAGACAATTACATGCTTGTGAGCATTACTTTATATCATGCAAAAGCAGATTATTTCAGAAACCAAACACTTTTTATTCTGTCCAATTATCTTTATTGCAACCAAAGTTATGCCTTCTGTTGTAAGTCAAGGTTTGGCCTGGCAATTTTCAAAAATTAGAGGGTATGTGATATAGCACAACTATACTTGGGCAACAGCTTGCTAGCGTCACTTGAAATCAACCAAATTACTGTCTATTGATGGCACAAAGAACCATAAATAGACAATAGGGTAAAAATGGTTCTGTTCTTATAAAAAATTACAATCCATAGCAAACTTCAGTGTTGTCAGAATCTGAAGAAATACAGTGTACCATCCTCTTCAAAGAATTCTTCACTGCTCGATTCACTCTCGTGGTGGTCGAAATCTCCTATTCATTTTCATCAGAAATACTTGACAAAACCTCGTTAGGTTCGTCCTCTTACACAGTCCACAGTGTCTCTTCAACTGGAATCCATGCAAACGTCATATTTAAAAGGATAGTATTGCATGTGTGATTTTTTTTGGCAAAAAACAGTTAACATTTGGATGAAAACAGTGAGAAATACGGCTACGAATTAAGAAACGTGACTTGACAAACCATAATAATCTTTACGAAATCAAAACAACACTATGTGAGGGTCCCCTGAGATTTTTAACATGGATAGGGTCAGAGCTTACAAATTCGTACGTTTGCCAGCTAAAGGGTTAAATTGAGCGTAAACATAGGCAATCTAGATTGAACACTCAGTTTTTTTCTAAGGTTTAATTTTAATATGCCTACTGTGCATGCATTGTGAAGAATTTCTGCATAACCCCATTCTCATTACAAAGCCTTAGTAAAAGGTTATTTTTTTGCCATTGTTGTCTTATAAAAAAGATCCGGATGCACATTATGAAGTTTGGGTAATACAGAAATTTTTCAGAGTATTGTCGTAATCTTCCTCATTCTTCAAAGCATGCTGATAGACAGGGTATGATGTCACTGGCACCTTATTTTATAGTTTTTTTTAGTGTCTTTTTAAAGTTGTCTAGCCATTGTTTTTCTGCTTAGGGTTGCATTGTTCTGATGTTTTCACATTATATAACAAGTTAATTCTCAAATAAAAATTGTGTACATTATGACCTTGATCAAAAGCCTGATGCACAGTAGTGTAAGTGATAAGACAAAAATGATAATAAAGTATCTTTGTTGAAAATTCAACAGCAATATGCAAGTGCAGGATGGACACAGTGCCCCTTTTTTGCTCGACATGAAATTCGTGTTGAGGAGTTAGAATATCACACTTCCATTTGTGAATACAAGGTATGATGATAGACTTTTCTGTTCAGGTTATTACTGTGAAAGCTTATTTCTTTGGTAAAATTTCTACATAGCCCCATACTATTGTAAAACAAATCTGTTTTCTCAATGGCCGTGTATTGTTTTTGTCATTGTTTTGTCTATCCAAGAACTGAATGCATAATGTGGTATGGGGTTGTGTGGAAATTTTACCATTTCTTTCATCAAAAGGCAGTGTAGTGTTATTTTTCTGATCTGTAACCTGAACAGAACAAAATGTAGGTGTGAGAGGTATCTTATATCTCCCTTCAGTATCACTGTTGAGTCACACACAAAATTCATAAGAATTAAGGATATTATCATTAGCACAGAAGCTCTTCAACATAAAAAAAAATTATCTGTTCTGCAAGAAATGTATAGGGGACAGTATGGAGAAAAGACATACTGATGTTGTAATGTACGAGCAATGGATTTGTGTTGATGAACATGGGAATAGACCAGAAACAGCTCCACATCTGAATAAATAGCCAGTGCTGTTGAATAAGGCCAGAAATTTTGCATAGTAGCAGAATGATTTCCCAATCTCTGAGGCTGGATCAACACTGATATATAATACTATTTAACTGTATTGAAAGAGTTTTTTTTACTTTTCTTGATATTTATTTATTCAGTTGGATAAGAAGTCTGTAAAAGAATAGTATGATCTCTCTGTTTTGACAAGATGGCTCTCGCAGTAAAAAGAACTATTATTGATGTAAAATTGTTTTGCTAAATGCTATTTCAGGATATGATCAGACAAGACATTGAGGAAGGTGAGTTCAGAGGCCTCCCTTGTTTATTATTTTTCTAAGGCTTGGTTGTTTGTAATCCAGCATACCTATGCAATTTTTTAGAATGTTTTAAAAATAAAAAAAACTAATTTTATTTCTTAACCAGTGAATTATTGAAGCAACGAATGCCACAAAGAAAAATGGACATTTTCTGTGAGCCTTTTAGTCTGTCACAAGCATGCTTATCCTTAGTTGATCTACAGGTATATTTTATATTACAGTTTACCTTCAGTCAATTGTGGAGGAGAAGAGATTACAACAACCACAGCCAACCCAAGCAGTACTACCTGATGAAACTGAGGATTGGGAAATAGGTATGTTTTGTTAGAGCTTCAATTTTGGACTACAGTCTGGAGCTTTGCTGTCAATTACTCAATTGAATATCTTTCTTTCTGCAACCAATTAAGTGTCACAGATCTATTATACTACTAAGTTAGTAGTAGAGAATTCAAAGCTCCAATTCTTTCAGCATGAAATTAGAATCTCTTTTTTAAGTACATGTATGCTTCTGTCAGTTACAGGGAAAACATCCTTGCTCTTGATTATTAGACTTGCATTAGATGATCTTCATTTCCATCATTGGGTAATACTAGTGATAACTGTGTTTGAAAAAAGTGAGTAAGTTGTATTGTAGGATAGGTTCTGCAAGATAGCAGCAGAAGAGGGGAGCATAAGTTTCCATGCAAGCTGTACAATGGTGGAATCTATCTTACATTGCCTTCATCTGTTTGAAGGATTATTCTGTCAGACGTGTGACAAATCATCATCAAGTTATCTCACCGAGTTTATTTTGTCTAAAGTGACATTTTAGTCTTAGTAGTGTTAATTTCATGTGAGGAATGTGCTGAATAAAGTTCTTGAATCTCATTGGCTGACATAGAGTGCGCTAACTGCTATGCTTTCATGTATGTGTCCTTTGACCCATCTTTAAAATTTGTTTGAATGCTAAAAAATAAAGGGAAATTTTATCTTGACTAATATTGTCTTTTGTATGTAAATCATCATCTTTGAACATTTAAAAAATCAATCATTTGTATGCATGATTTTTCACCAGTCTTATTTTATTCAAAACTCATAATTTTATCTCTACAAATTTCTTATTTTGAAAGAGTGGTGTAATAATTAGTCATGCAGGCTGTAGAAGAAAGAGAAATGAAATTCACTTCTACCTTGTTTTGTTGATTTCAGAGGCTGATAGGCAACCATTTTCAATCCTTGCTCCTGAGCCACAAGCTGACTCTACCGATGGATATGACGTTTTGCAGGTGATTCAAGTTGTACAAGCCCAGGCTCATGCTAAACCTAAACTTATGGAGACCTCAGGGTAAGAGAATTAAAGGAAATTTTTATAAACCAGCTCAGCTTCTCCAACTATCAGTTGAGAAAACAGATAAGAAAAACTGGTTGGGGATTCGCTAAAAAGGAAGAAATGAGAGTGCCCCTTAGGCATTGTGTGAAGTAACATGCTCTGGTATGCATTGCACTTGAATAACTTTCATTTGCAGTTAACATCAGAAACTAACATGCCATAGAGTCAAACCATTTTCCACCAGAAGGAGGTTATTTTCTTACAAGTAGTAGTTCTATAAAGTCCTGAAATGTTTTGCTATTTTTTAATGCAGTATGATATGCTACCCATTGTTGAAAAGAGTTAAATTTTGGTACCTTGCCTTGTGTATTTCAGTGAGAAATTAGGTATGAATGATTGAACTTAGAGAAATTGAAGGGGAACCTGAAAAAAGCCCCAAGTGACATCAGATGGATTGCTGGATTCTCCTTACAAGTTTTCTCAAATTTAACTGTGATAGATAGGGAGAAGTTGCTTCAAAAGTAACATGGGGCTTTTCCACCTGTTACTGAAATGAAATGGGAGAGGGGTGAGGAGTATGAATGATTGTCTTCTAATTATCTTTTAACACATCACTGCAGCATGACAGCCGCACAGAAGAAAAACTTTAAAAGAGCACAGAAAAGACATGAACGACGAGAAGCTGAAAGGTGCACAAACAACATAGATTGAATGAAACTTTCATAGGTATTTCTTGTAACAGTGAGTGGTAAAAGTTATATCTTCAAGGACTGAAACTATAGTAAAAACTGTCTTTTGGTTCTTTGTTTCTCTAACTGGGAGCCATTTTGTGGCTCTGTTACAATCTTGGTAAGTCTTAAATAGAGTTAAATGACAAAATAGAATTACTAATAACTTCTTAAAGGGTTAGATTTGAGCTTTAAAGCATTCTACTTTTTACCAGTATAATAAGCTGTATATTTTGAAAAATTGAATTTTTGTTCATTTATTTTTTCACTGTTTACATCCTGAAATAGTAGAATAGTCAACACCCAACTTGCCAAGTGTCCGATAGGCTGATTTTTAAGTTGAGTATTTCTTCAAAATATATCATATAACTCACAACTTCTAAGTTTCTCAGGTCATGAAAACTGGACATTTAGTCAACCCTTTTAACTCCCAAAATCTGATTGTTGATTCTCCCCTCTTGCTGCTACACATTTCCTATTAAATTAGTCATAGGAATTTGGTGTTAGATCAAGATAACAACTTCTACCCGATAAGTTTGAGTATTCTCATTACCTGTTTACAAAATTCTGCGTGAATATAATTGATAGAAGTTACATGTTAATAACCTCTGGGGGTTATAGGGTTAACTTTCTTTAGGTAGCTTTTTCTGTGGGATGGGTTTTCAAACATGCTATGTGATATCTTTTTTTAGGGTCAATCAAGAACCTGAAATGACAAATGAAGAGAGGGTACAGGCCTTAGCAAAACAGTACAGTTTACTTAGCACTTCAGGTGAGCCTGCTGTTTGGTAAAGTGAAGACTTAAAGTTGGCAACTTATGTCTAAGATGAGCTTTACAAAGTAAGTTCTTCCTTCTGTGTGTCTTATTTTTTCCAGGTAGTTTCATTGACTTTGTCAGTATCCTGAATCTATACTGTCAAAAAAACAAAATCAATCTTCCCAAATATAGTGAAGCACCTGGAGTTGATGGAGGCTTTGGGGCACAATGTTTTGTGAAGGGTCAGATATTTAAATCCATGAAGTACTGTTCAACTAAGAAAGAAGCGCGTCATGATGCTGCCATGCATGCTGTGCTGGGTCTCAACATTCCTGTGGGTAAGAGACCTTGGTCAATGTCTTGTGTAGCTTCTGCTTTAAAGTTTCATCATAATGTCATTTTGGATTGTGCTGCCATAATTTTTCAAATAAAGGTAAAAGAGGCCATGTATGGTAAATGGGAAAATCAGTTCTGAACCAACAGTTGAAACACTTAAATTTGTGTCTTTATTGTTAACTTAGATTTTTGTCAGAAGATAAAGGGAGTAAGTTTTTAAAGAAACTGTGGTGCAGTGTCAGGGAAGAGTATAAGAGGGTAATTTAGTGTTATCAACTGAGTTGGAAATGTAAATTGGCCACCACCATAAAGAGTTTAAAGGCTGACATTTCAAGTGTTAGCTAATGCTTGAAACACTCAAAACGTCAGCCTTTAAAATCTTTACGGGGGCCAATTTAATTTTTCATCTCTTGATAACACTAAATTACTTTTTATTTGTATTTTTGGTTTTTTAGTAGGTTACTCTAACATAATGCTATTGCCTTCTTGTGTCAAGTTAAATTTAAGTTGTACCTCAAGCATTGGCAACTAAAGGTGACATGAGTAATGAAGAAAAACTGTTGTGCACAATGAGTAGTTGAACAAACTTCTAATAATTTTGTGTCAAATGAAAAGTGTTGGATACAATAACATGCGTTGGGTCTAATTGCATGTCATGAATAAATTTTGATTACCCCATAATGGTTTAATTTTGTTATTATCATGACAATGGCAATGTGTCTATCATCTTCAATTTTGTCACTTTGTGATTCCTAAAAAAGAACAAAAGAATGTACAAATGGTATCAAAAAGAACTGTAACCCTTGGTTATGGAAATATTATGGGTTGAATGATTGTTTTTCAACTGTATTTGGGTCAATAACTTGAAATGTGGATTACAAGAATTGGGCTCTAACTGCATAACTGATTGGTAGTTTTCTGATAGCTGAGATAATTTTTCTGATATGGATAAATTTAAATATTGATTATTTTACATTGAAAGCCACTTTCTATTAACTTTTTAACCAGTTGACCCAACACCCAACAAACCAATGGCTGTAAGAAGTGCCACTGACCATCAGAAGCTCAGAGAAACTCATGAGTTACAGCTTCTAAAAGAGGCGGGGCAGGCACCACCCAAAGGGAGGGGCAGACCAACTGTGCAGCAGTCTGTGTGTTCCTTTTCCACCCAAGCTACTGGTCCACCCATGTCACAGCAACCACCACAGAATATGGCAGCTAATAAGTTTACTGAGGTAACACAATTGCAGTTGCCAGTTGTTTGGAAAGAAGTTCCCATACTAGCTTCTTACTACCATTTTGCGGCATGCCATGATGTTTTACCTTCATGAATTGACAACTTTTGTGACAGTCATTGATATATTAATTATTAATTATTTATCTTTCTTCATTTGACAAGTGAGTGGAATGTATATAAATTATGTTTCAAAAAACCTGGGCTAAAAATGGCCAAGCTTACCAATGCATTCTATGCCCCTCAGTTAATAGTGTCAGGCTGCTAAATATGAATGTCTAAGGTTCTATTTTTTTGTAGGGAACTCTTTTTTGTTTGTTTGTTTGTTTTTTGTTTTTGCTTTTGTTTTTTTTGTTTTTTTGCTTTTCCCATGTCTGTGACAAAAAGGTAACTTCCTTAAGTAAAAAACCTGTATTGCATCATTTCCTCAGTTATTGCTCCTTGGTCACTCATAAGACCTCTTGCTGTCATGAAAATAATAATTTGGAAATTTTTAGGTTACTGGGGTAATAGAAGGAACAGAAAATGATGACTGGACAACCGTAGGTGGGAAAGGTAGGTCAACTTTTGGACCCCTAAGAGTGATTAGCATCTAATTTCTCCATACAATATCACCCCTGAATCACACATTAAGGTTACAAGAATGAAGGAAATGATCAACTGGTAAAGAAACTCTTGATTGTTAAACAAATCCTCCTTATCATCACCTTAGATAATATGTGATAACAGTCTGGAGAATTTGCATACTGATGTTAGGGTGTAAAGGGTTGGGTAACACAGTCACTCTTTTGTTGATAGATTAATAGACATCAGAAAATTTACTTAACAAAAATAACCAGTGAGAGAAGGCCATCATTAACAAGAAGAAATCAGCAAGCTTTAAGGTTGGAATTGGATCACACAGCTTAGGCTTGGCTTAGGTTTTGGAATATGTAGTGACTGTTTCTCATCAGATCTACTCTCCCCATGAGAGAATGCAGCCAAGTTACCTGGAAAGTTTACCACTCCTTGTTTTACTCCAGGGGCTTATAGTTCAGACAGAAGTGAGCTGTTATCCTGGAATAAGAGACAAGTGAAAACTTAATTCTTCATTTTGTCTTTATTCAGGAATTGTCATTGATCTACTGAACTTCTAATGACTTTCACTCTTTATGGTTTTGTTTATTTTTTTCATTCATCTGTTTATGGCAGGGTTGAAGAATCCAGTCTATCAGCACTCCCTTAAAATGGCAGGGCGTGGAAGGGGTATGTCAAGGCGGTGACAAATATCAACTATGGCATCTCATTGGCAGAGACTGAAATCCTGACCAACGGATTCTTCTGTGTCCTCCCTTCAATAACTGTTGTTTTCGACTAGGGAGTAAGGTTGTAGTTCCTTGATCTGTCATGCATTATTCCCACAATTCTCTCAAGGTGGGTGTGCTAGACCTTTGTTCCACTAGAAAGATTGAGAGATTCCCCAGCGATAAGTTAGGGCAAGCTGTGTTAAAAGCCCTTCTGTTGTGTTATTTAAATAAGATAGTTGCCAATAAGTACTAAAGTTGGTAATCTCTGTTGCATATAAGGTTAGAACAGTTTTTAGCATTTTTTTCTCAAGTATGGAAAATTTTTGATTTTAGGGTATGTAAAGATTTGACAATGATAATTTTTAAGCATTAAGTAATGGGACAAAGGGAAAAATTTTGTTTTCTGTTTAAACAAAAGAAAGAAAACAAATTTTTACGAGAGAAATCTTTTTATGTCAGATATGTAAGAAAGCATGACTGAAGGTCTACAGGTTTTTCCAAAAGTAATTTGAAAAGAGTTTAATCATAGAATAGTCCAGTTCAATTCAGAAAATTGTCCAAATGCCCATATTCATAAATACTGATATGCCAACAGCTTTGGGGTCATGTAATTTCATTCAGATCAATTTATGAAATAATTTCAGTTTAATTTTATACTTGTTGAGAATGAGTATTGATAAACAATGAGAGTATCCTTATTTAGTATTTTAGCAATTGAACAAATAACCGCAGTGTTTGTAAATAAAATTTTTTTTACTGCTTGTTATTTCTGAATTTTGTTTAAAATCGTTGTTTATTGAAGGGAAACCATTAAGGGATAAATGATGCAGATTTCAAGAGGAAAAGAAAAAAAAAGTAGAAAGGGAACAAGGACAGAGAAGGATTGAAAAGATAAGCACAGATTGGGAAACAAAAACAAACAAAAACATTTATCCTGAAATACACACACACTTTCAAGTGTGCAAAAATTTTAGGAAAGAGTCTAATATGGATACACAGCTCCACAAACACTTCACATCCAAACAAGGAATTACTTTGTTTTAATTGTCAAAACAAATCTTATTGTTGATGATAGCAACATGACAATTTTATCATATCAAGAAGATTCCCAAACATGGCTTTCCTATAGGGATTGATCCTCTCTTCTGACACAAAGCCACTTGCTCCCATCACTACTTGGAAAGTGCCAAGTATCTCCTGTTGTTTGAACATGTACACGGTGGTCAAATCTCCTCACACTCTACAAGAATAAGATAGGATGAATAATTGTGCCACTATACAAAACTGGAGAATGTGACACTGTTAGGGCTGTGATAATTGGGTTACATGCATTTAATCATCAACAAGATAAGTTTTGTCTCCAATGATATCTGGAAAAACTTAGCTGTACTAAGCAGCACACAGAAATTGTGAGTTTCATTTTTATTAACCCTTTAACCCCTAAGAGTGACTGCCATTTAATTTCTCCTGACAATGTCAGCCCTGAATCAAACATTGAGGTCATGAGAATAAGGGAAATGATCAACAACCAAAGAAGTCTTGACTGTTAAACAAATTCTCCTTTTCAGACCCTTAAGAAATGTATAGAGAACAGTGTCAGGGTGAAAAGGGTTACATTACAGTATAAAATGACCAAGTATTTGGTAATCAGTTTGAAAAGGCCAGATATGAAAGATTCACAATTAGTTTGTTTAGTCAACTTGAGGTTCACAACTAAATGAATTATTATTATGCAATTTAATAAACCCTTATTGAGCAGAGATCCTTTTTTAAGCAGATACTGATGTGAATTCTGCACCTGTCAGATTAAAACAAAGTTCACTGTAGACCCTTCTAAAACTAGTACATACCTCAAACAAGGGTTGTTCACCCACAAAACTGGCCAACTTCACTTGATACAGCTCTTGCCATCTGGTGAACTGGGCTTTCATCAGTGACTCCATACCTTGCAGATGGTTAGAGAACATGTCTGAGGAGACAAGTAGGGTGCCAGGGCCACACTGCATAGCAGCACTAAGAAGATAGACATCATCCAATGCCCTGAAGTTAGAATTGTGTATGATTACAAAAACAATCTTAAAAGTGTTAAATATATGTGTATTTACATGACTGTTGCTCTGCTCATTAGCATTACAACATGTCCTTGCTAGATGCTTCTGAAGACTCAACCCTTGATTCTTAATTCTGAAAAATCAACTTAAAACTCAAGCTTTGAAACTTGAGACTTGCGAGGAATCTAGGCTCAAATTTCAAGTCAAGGATGTCAATTTACATTTGAGTGACAGTGTATATCTTGGTACTGTTTATTTATAGAGCCTCCTTAAACATTTTCAAGATGACTGAAGAGACCTGCAAGAGCATATGGAAACCACAATCAAGTAATCAAAATCATTGGGATATACTGCAGGTATTTCCCACAAGCACTATAATTGAAGAACAACAAAAGTAGGAGATGAGTTACCTTGCTGCCAAACAGAAAACACCACAGTGTACTCTCAGAAAATCCATTACTGAAGGAAGTGAATTTTGGTCATGTCTTCTAATGTGACCCAGTGAAATTGGCCATGAACCCACAACCAAAACCCTCTTTTTCTGCTTCAGAAAATGTTCAGCCACAGCTTTCAACTGCATAAATAAGGACAAATCAATATAAGTACCCATCCAAAGTAAAACTCTTTTAAAATAAAGAGACATGATAGCCCTATGGTTAACACACAAAAGGAAACATTTTTTCTTTCCCATCAGTCTACTATGTTTTGCCACCAAGATTAGGAGACAAGGGCACAGGAACACTGTGAGGAATGCTAGAAATGCTTACCATCCCCTCCCCTCACTACCCTACGAGGCAACCAACACAACCTACTCACAGGCACACAACAGATAAAAAATACATTGAATGTACCTTTTTAGCATCAAAATGATGATAGTAATAAGCTAAATTGAGTCCATCCAAAACTACGTCATAGTGTCCTGTTGTCTCTATAAATCTGACCACACTGTTAGGAAATCTGTTAGAATGTCCTGGTCGGATGTAATCCACATACTTTCCAGCAGTAGTGTGGCAACGCACTTCTGAGAGAACTTTGCGATTCCTCAACACATGTGAGATAAGGGGGTCCTTCAACTCATGCAGTTCTTCTTCAGTAAAGTTCCCAGTTTCTAGTTTTTGCTTGCAGGCTTGGCAGTGGTATCTGAAAAAGAAACAAACCAAAAATAAGCCATTGAACGCCAAAGGTTCAGAAAACCTTAAACTGATCTTACTTTTGACATTTGTTGAAAAATTAATCGGCACATGCCCATGATCAATGAAATGAAACATGCACATTTTGTATGGGACAGTTTACAAGTATATTATAGTGTAGCCACATTTGATAAATACATTGGCAAAACAGGAAGATGACTGGGTGACCAATTTCAAGAACACCTTTGTTATGTAGAAAGAAATGACAAGGATGCATCCAAACCAGTCGCTAGACACTGTAATCTCTCTAATCATTCCAAGCAGCATATGGCAGTTTGTGACCTTTCCTACATCTAGGCTAGTTGGGAAAGCCGCGATCTTTCAAATCGGCACTCTTGATGCTCATAGTATCAACAAGGGCTTTTCATTCAACTAATTTATTCCTGTTTTCTAGTCACCATATTCCCTCAATAGCATAGCTCCACTTTCTGCATATAAACACATACAACCCAAAATTCCTCCAATCACTCTGACAAAGGGTTATCATCAAAACATCAGCTTTTAAACTCTTTATGGTGACCAATTTACACTATCAACTCAGTTGATAATACTAAATTATCCTGAAAAATACAGAGTTGCTCAATTTAAACTTCATACAAATTTTATTTCCCTTTGACTTCAGGTATAACAATGAATGACAAGGTCCTCAAAATAATATAAAACAAAGTTTACACCACAAAAAAATATTATGAAAATTTCCTTACGTTGCTGATGGAGAAGACCAAGCTGTTACCCACTTTGGGTCCTTTAGACTGAAAAGTGTAATGGAAAGGTTGAAGGTTAATTGAGAACTATATCCTTTGACCTCTAGGAGTAACCAACATCTAATTTTTTTCCTTACAATATCAACCCTGAATCACACTTAAGCTCACAAGAGTAGAAGAAAAGACCTGCTGCACAAATTTCTTGTTAGCACTCGAAGAAATACATAGAGAACAGCAGGGATCCAAGGATAACCATGTTGTAAATGATCCTGTCATTGACCCTTTACACCCTAAGATCAGTATCCATATTCTCTACACTCTTCTCTACATGTTTCTTTTGTTACCTACAAGGAGAATTCATTTGAGGATCAAAACTTCTTTAAGGTTGGCAATCATTTCCTTTATTCTCATTATGGATGGTTAAGTTGTATCACTAAGGAGAAATAAGATTCTGGCCACTCTTAGGGTTTAACAGGTTAACAATTTATCCAAAACAGAAGAATTAAGTCTCCTATTCTTCCACCCAAATTAAATACCTAGACAGATAAAATTATGAAAGCATCACCTCTAGTGAGCTCAAAATCAGTGAATAACCTACCCCTCCCCTCCCAATCTTTTAGTGTATCTGACAATTAACCCTTAAACTCCTGTGAGTGACCAAGACAGAATTTCTCCTTACCGCATCTATACAATACAAGCAGACAAGTGATGATAATAATGAAAAATATAAATTATGGGATTACTAATTGATTTGATACTGAATTCTCCAAACTAACAAAATGAGAATCATTTAGCAGACAGTAAGGAGAATTTCTAATGAGATCTTGGGAGTTAAAGGGTTAACCTTTCCACTACTCTATTGAAAGGGAAGATTATTTTCTGAGGGGTTATGATTTAAAGAACAGTGGACTTCATTGGGCTGGAATGGTATATCACTTTATTAGGGATATGACTGTTCACTTATTTTTGAATGAATTCTTGGACTTGATGATTCCTGAGCCAACAAAATGCCTGCCTATTTCTACCATTTTTGTATGTAAAACTCTGTCATTTCTTGCAAAATGCCCCAATAAAGTAAAGATGGATCACTAAGTCTGGGGGGCAAACCAGCTAAGTTGGGGGCAAACTCTTTTTATGTTTGAATGCAATCTCGCAAAGGTGATTGGGGGCAAACTAAGGAGGCAAATTCACCAGTTACAACTAAGTTCACACGAATGACATTGCTCTGTCTTTCTTTACCTGTCAAACCATAGTTTGATTGTCTCCAGAGCCTCAATGCTCAGCAAGTCTCGATATCTTCGAATGTCGTAAAACAATTCCAACACTTTATTCTTTAACTGCTTACTCACTTTGCCCACACAAGCTCGAACAACTGTTATATAGATATCCACGATTCGTTCATGAAGTACCCCAGAGTGACGCAAATCATCCAAACATCGAAATGCATCCATTGGATCTCCTTTGTTGGCTTCCATCTCCACAAAAGGTTTAAAATGGCGTGCTCTGGGAGTTAGACCGTCCTTAAGCATTTCATCAAACAAGCTTTTCATAGAATGTTTGGGATGATTGGACTTCGAGTACAAATTGGCAAGAACAGAATAAGTTGAGTGACTTTTCGGGATATTAAGTTGTTCCATGAGAGTTTTCAGTTCAAAAGCTGCGTCGATTTTGTCATAATGAACCAGGCAGTTTAGTGAATAATCTAGAGCTTTTATCATATGCTGTTCAGGAAGAATAATAAATTGATTAAACATCTCTAAAACTTCATTTGGTGCACTCAATGTCTCACAAAACGGTCGAATGTTCTTTACGCGCTCTGGAAAAGGAAGACTTGGATGAAAATCCTCACGAGCGTCCCTAACAGTTGAACACAAATATCTTACGCCAGGTATTATGTAGCGTCTACAGTCAGTTGGACACAAAATGAGTGTTCCTACTCTACCCTGAAGAATTTTCCTCAAAACTCTGGTCGCCATATTAGTCGCCACGCTGGTATACCGAAATTCATCATGTAACATACACAATATGTCTCTAGGAAAGTGGCCTCGGCCGTTCGAGAACCTCTTTGATAAAATGTCAGTGAAAATAAAGATAGCAAAGGCTGCTTGATCCTTTTTTTTCTCTATCTGCAAGAGTATTTTAAAATCTCGATGATAAAAACCAGCGATGTTTTGTCATGACCCAGTAACTTTGTGATGATCATCGCTGGCAAGCGAAAAGGTGTGGTCCTCCATTCTTGTCAAAATTCACGTCTTCATTTCGAATTTCTAGCTTTGTATTTCACCCTTTAGCAACAGAATTGAGCATCGCTGTTCTCTAAAAATCATGTCTCTAACAAATGAGCAAATTCTATTTCTTGACGTCAAAATCAGTGTTTTTCGTTTGCTGGCTTTCTTTAGCATTCTTTGAAGCAGTTTGATGATAAAATGACAAAGGGTCAACACAGGTATTCCCCTACTGAGGAAGTTAATAGCGACTGCCAATCTATAATATTCTCATGTGAAAGCTCATTTAAAATAATGATCATTTTAAAAGGAATAAGTATTAAAAAAACCTTACAATTTCCTCGAGAAGACAAAAACTTTACGTTACTGAGGCAACAGACTGAAAGCTCGGCTGAAAAAGTAAGTTTTCAGATTACGCTTAAATCAAGAGTTAAGCAGGCCCTGTGGTGATTCCAAAGGTAAGAGGCTGCAGAGGACAAAGCCCTTGCTCTTAGTGTAGGTAACACCTTACCTCTTAGGGCCATCAGGAGAAGCTTCCGAGCAGCCCTTAGTTGGTATTTAATAGGAACCCTAAAACTAATAAGCTTACAAACATAATCAGGCGCTATACGATGTACTACTTTTAGGCGAAGGAAAGAATCTTGAATTCTATGTTGTACGTAACCGGTAGTTGATAAACTTTTTAAATGTGCTCTTTCCAGATGACTTTCTACAACAGTAGAACCAGGAAGTGACACTGTTATGTTGATTTATTGGTTTATAAACCATTTCAATTTTTAAAGAGTACTTTTCTGCTCTGATAAGGATTAAATATTTTTTATTGATGCTCGCGCGTGTTTGTTCGAAATGAAAATAGTTTCCCGAAAAGGTACGAAATCTTTCAACCACCTACTAACAGTAGAAATAATGCAGAACATTTTATCAAAACGGCCTTACGGTAGCAGAGGCTACTCGGTAGATATTATGATTTGCACTGCTGAACAGTGCGTGCTGATTGGCCAGTTTAAAAGTGATTGGCAAGTACTATTTACCTCCGAGCTGCCGAAGAGACGAAATCGCGCGTGATATTTGGTTTTTGTGTGGTATATTCGAAAAACAATTACTCGCCTTCGCCGCTTCGCGGCTCGGTAAATATCCTCCACTATTCACCTCCACTTCATTGAGTAATTATTAGGTATTCACTACATTGCCTTGGCATAAATTCGATACAATAAAAATTGCCGATGGTGATAGTTGTGTTCTGTCTGGGCGGAATAACTTTGTTAGGATAAGCAAGTGAAAAGTGTGTGAACGAAAATCGTTGCTTTTCTGACCGCCCGGTTAACGCATCTTTTTTCGCACGCCTTCTTTTTCGCCCGTTTTCGCTGATCAGGCGTCAGGAAAAGGTTTCGAAATAACAAGTGATCCTGTAGCAACCTGGAAGGGCTACAATGAAAGACTGGTGCTATGTATAACAGTGACGTCAGGTTTAAGCATTTTTACAGAAAGGTATTCGTAAAATAGTTTATTAGCTTTACTTTGTGTTGTGTGGTTCTTTGAATTTGAAAGTGCGTTTCTATGACTGGCCTTCAAAAGAAAGAAGCGGATGAGTTTTACCTTAAGTTGTGTGTTTCTCAGCATTAAAATGTTCCTCTATGGCTGGTGCTCTGAAGACTCTTCACTTTGGTCCTTTGACTCCAGTCAAATCAAAGTCATTCCCCACCATAGTACCCTTCGCAACCATTCTTTGAAATCTCAATAACCCCAAACACCCTCCCACCACACTGTACGGGGAAGCGTGACCAAAGTGGTTAACGCCATCGCCGACATGTAACTAACCAAATTAAGAAAAAAAAAAAAAAGAAACATATCTTGGGTGGTTTAATTCCAAGGTGCAACAGCTCTCTCACATTTTAGCATCAACAAAAGCGATGATATAAATTCGCAGCATTTTTAATTTTTCTTGGCTTATATGGATGATATTTCGTGCAAAATTTATCGTCATTGATATATGTTGCGACATAACCTATTTATAAACTAATGACATCTCTTAAAAGCAAAAACCTTAAGTAAATGTTATGCCTAGAAACGGGTGATGCGGTTTGGTGTGGGACGATAAAACGAAAATTGTGTAATACTGCCTTATCTATCACTAGCCGTTTTTGGTTACAATCCTTGCAGTTTTCCTTTGCTGAAAAATGCGTCACTTTTTTAAGACGAGAAAATGCGACCAAATCACTGGCACTCATTTCCATACTGAGATATTAAGCAGCTTTTGACAAAATTAACAGAATTTCCAAATTGAATTATTTAACAACGTGATTGGTTTACGTCGTTGAGTTTAATAACAGCCACCTGTTAACCACACCGAGTGCCCTTGGCTCTGCTTGCACAATGAAGGTATTTAAAAATATTTCATGCATTTTAAGCTCTAAATCGGCGATGTATTGCTTAAAAATTTGCGAGGAACTCCAGACACTTCTTTTTTTGACGCCTTGATTCCACCCCTAAAAGACAGAGAAATCTTGCGAAACTATGAAATGTATGAAATTATTCAGTTTTGGATATTTTTAATCGTGACGAAAGCTTGGTTTCGGGCCTCGATGCTGCAAAAAGAGATGGCAGATGGCTTTCGCCCCCCTTCCGAGAGCAAGTCGTAAAGATAGAAGTGCGTGGGTTATTGACACGTACACTATCTCATTGCCGCCTCTTCTGTTCATCAAGATGATGCAAAAGTTATCAATAGCGCTTGCGACTTCCCCTGCTAACGCATAAATTATTCACAGTTATTACCACTTACTGCCTCTAAAGTAATACACAGCATTTTCATATTAAATTAATCAGCAAGGTAGCCATTTCATACTACGATTTAACGAGAGAACCGTCAAGTTTTGGCAATTTCCAAAGTTGAAAGTTATTTTTGTATTGCAGTTGTTCAGCATGAGGTGAGAAAGTCGCTTTCAAGATATCGCCACGATTGAAGACATGTTTTCCCTTAGTATCTGTCTCTATGGCTGCAGAGTGAAAAACTAATATTTTAGAATGTAGTTCAAAATTTAATTGCTTTAGCCCGGTTTGAAGCACAACGCTGTCACGATGAGACGTTGGAAAACCTGGGAAAGTATAGCCGTTGAAGATTATTTCGACGATATTACGCAGCCAAATCGCTGGAATTCTCTCGAAAAGCTGGACAAAATTCACATGACAAGTAATGGTATCATTCCTGATGGATCCAAAGTTTCACAATTATCGCCGAAGAATGGAAATGCTTTAAACGATCCTTCCCTATTGTGTACAGTGTGCAAACAACTTTTCCGTCGGCCGAAATTTCTGCGATGTCTTCATAGCTTTTGTAAAAGTTGCATCGAGAGTCTGGTTTGTAATGAATATGGTAAAGAAGGACTTGTTGTTTGCCCTTTATGTTCTTTACCGAGCGAATTGGGTAGTAAAGGAATTGACGCGTTGCCAGTAAATTTCCTCATCGGCGCAACACTCAAAAAAAGAAATTTTGTCGTGGAAGAGAAAAAAGCGCCGGTCAGGTGCGGAAATTGCGAAGACAACGCTGAAGCTACAGGACAGTGCAGCGATTGCTCGGAATTCCTATGTGACAGGTGCACGGCTGCTCATAGACGGGTACGTGTTACAAGAGAACATCAAATTATCTCGCTAAATGAGCTGGCAACCGAGGACGAAGAAAACAATAATTCACAGTGCAGCGCTGATAGCTGCTCGGACCATGGCCGCGAAGAGCTCACGTATTTTTGCCAGACATGTGAAAAGCTGATCTGTAGAGAGTGCACTATTGTGAATCACCCCAAAACAACACATACGTTTGAACCGCTGAGGGAGGCTTCGAGCAAACACAGACAAGAAATATCCGAGCTTCTCGGTACGATAAAAATGAGGAGTCCTTTTGTGAAAAGGGCTTTGTTGGAGATCGAAGAAGCGTGTGGGGATATTCCACAGCACGCCCTTGCGATTGAGGAGCAAATCAAGAGCTCGACAACGCGCTATATCAGGGCTTTAAAGGAACGAGAAGCGCGGCTGTTGGACGATTTGGGCGCCATGAGAGAATACAAAGTTACATTGCTAGAGCAACAAAAGGAGCGGTTGTACAAAGGAATTGGAGATATTGAAAGCAATTGTGGACTCATCGAGATGATGTTACGAGAAGGAAGTGCTGCTGAAGTAACAAGGGTAAAAGATTTTATGACGGGGCGATTGCAAAGCTTAATGAATCTGATTCAGGACATGTCACCAACCGAAGGACCTGAATTAGACTACGTCACTGAAGAAGACCTGCTATTCGACGTCATAAATAGAGGTGGAAAACTTGAAAGCAGCACCATGCCTCCTGCGGTTCGACTCATTGGAGAGGGATTGTATAACGCTGCAGTTGGAAAAACCTCAAGTTTTGCTTTAGCCGTGCGAGAAGGCGCGGAGATGGCTAAACATGACATAGACGTTCGCATCGAAACTCCCGACTTGATTATTCTCACCTGCAACATAACAGAGAACAGTTCACGCCTTTACACAATCAGTTATAAGCCAAGAATTCATGGAGAACATGTAATCACGGTTTTAACACGTGGAGAGCATGCGGAAGAGAGTCCTTACACGGTGGACGTGAAGAAAGGTCACATGTGCTTCGCCACAAAGTCTCCTCCCGTTTGTTTACGGTTTGGTTACAAGGGAAAAGGGAGAGGCGAGCTGACTGGTCCGAGTGATGTAGCTGCGGCTTGCAATGGTATCATAGCTGTGGCAGACACGCTGAATGATAGAATTCAACTGTTTACCAGCAAGGGAGGATTTCTACGACAGTTTGGAAGTTCGGGGGAAGATGTCGGCAAGTTTAAATCCCCAACCGGCCTGTGCTTTTCTCAAGCTGGACAAATAGTCGTCGCTGACCAACAGAATAACCGTATCCAAGTGTTTAGTATGGATGGGGTCCTGTCCAAAGTAATATCATGCAAAGGACGGAGTGCGGGGGATTTAAAAAACCCCACGGGTGTAGCTGTGGATGAGGAGGGCCAGCTACTAGTCACAGACCAACAGAACCACAGAATTGTTGTCTTCGACAGCAATGGAGTCTACTGCAATCAGTTTGGGTCCTTAGGAACAAAAGACGGAGAATTCAACAACCCTTCCTACATCACTGTTTCGCAAGACGGCGAAATTCTCGTCACAGATACTTCGAACCATCGAGTACAAATTTTCGATCCGATGGGAAAATTTCAACGGAGGTTTGGAAGACCTGGCACCGGAGATGGAGAGTTCCACTATCCGACGGGAATAACAGTCGATTCATCCGGGTACATCTTTGTCTCTGATCGCACCAATCGCGTACAAGTGTTTAACTCGCACTTGCGTTTCGTCACAAAGTTTGGCGGGAAAATCAGTGGTGATGGGCAATTGAATGGGCCGCTAGGACTTGATTACACTCCTGAAGGCCGGGTCGCTGTTACCGATGCCGGTAATAACTCTGTTAAGGTTTTCTACTTTCCCAACGAGTAATCACGCACCAGTTAATCGAAGAAACTACGAATACAATTCTTCCGCATTTGTAAGTCTTTAAGTAGGAGAACACTCTAGAGATAATCATGGAATTTTTAGTTTTGTGTCGAAAATAATGTAGAACTAAATTGGTTTTGCCGGCTTTACTCTGCTTACTGATTGATCTAGAAGATTCACTCCTTGTCTTTCTCGACCAATCAGATGCAAACCTTAAACCAATCCTTAAACCAATCCCGACATCTTGCCTGGGGTTTTCCGGCGCTTATTAACTGGTTTGTGAAGCTTTTCACTTTTAAGTTTCATGCTCACTTGTTTCTCTAACTTTTCCAAGAAAAAATTATCCCTTTTTTATCTTGGTGTTCTCCACCAGTCTGGTCGGCTTTCATAATTACTATAGAAACCCAATTCTAAAAGTCTTTAAAAAATTACATCAAGGAATAAAGCTGAGTAGGGACGGAAAAGGTTAAACTCTCAAGTAGTAATTTTTCAAATCTTCCAGGAATATCACCATTAAACATAAGCTATACGATCGGATTAACGTAAATCAAGTTTCGACTGACGCCAATCAACAGATCTTGACAAAATGATAAAGTACTAGGGGTTTCCATATTATATCCAGGATATCTTAAGCATTAGTAAATTGATTACAGTCTGTTAAGTATTTCTCATTGATTAACTCGCTTTCAAGAGTTTTTTTTAGTATGACGAGATTCGTTTTCTCTTACTTACGAAGTGTTTTTGACTAAGTTAAATTTCAGTCTATAGAGGTATATCTTTACATAATCATTCGCCGTGTATCTAATATTTAGAGAGTGAAAATATTGAAATAATTTCAAAATTACTTTTTATAGGAACTAGCATAAAGGTTAGTTTCCTCCAAGAGTGATAGAGTTCTAATACTGTATCCAAACCGACCAATCACGACTGACCTACGCCACTTGAGTCTTACAGCCAATAACATCACGGTAAAACTGACCAATCAGTATACACAAACCGGACTAAGTACATTCGACTGACAACAACCTTTCACTTGACTCTGATGATGACTTCCGCTCAGGTTGTCGAAACGTCAGTCACCACTACCGACAACAGTCCTTCCCAGGACTACACTCACCCGAACGATCATACTACACTAATACATGTTAACCCCGGGTTCAAACCATTGAATGTATTACTTTAATATTCTGTCACTTGATAGCTGTAGGAGACATGCACAATGATAAGTTGCAATATGTTTTAGTTTCATCTTATCTATTAAGATATATGCTTTAGTAGTCTCCTACCCAGATCTTCCACGGCCAAGCGGTTGTTCAGTTGTTCAGTTACAATTCAAAGATAGGATCTGAGTATGAGATTAGTATAATTAGTTTATGACGTTTCCAATAAAAAGGGGCATATGGTTTTAAACGATATTAAAGCCCTCGCCCCTAGAAAACAGATACATTGTAAAAATTAGTGCACTTCAATGAAACACCAGTATGATGTGTCGATATTTAGTCACAAAACTGGTTTTAAAATCAAATACCAATCAGAAAATAAATTTTTCTTTAAGCCTTGGACGATCATTTAAGTTGTTGGTACTGTAATAACTTCATATGTTACAAAGCGAGAAGAGAATCAACGGCCTATAAAACGATTTTAAACCCCAATCGCAGGCGAACATTCTAAATAAATTTTCTATTCCTTTTTCATTCCTAAGTTAGTTTCACTGAGACCATTTTCCACGTCAGAGTTGTGCCTTTAGAAAACTTGAGCAGTCTGATTGGTTGATTCAGAGGACGTTTTGTAATTGTGTGAGCATAGAATCATGGGATGGGCATATTAGCACTTGTGCACTTGTACCCAGCTGTCCTTTCTGGGCTGGCTTATACAAAGAGAGAACCAACAAAGTGGTCAGCGTGCCGGGTGAGTCGAGAGAGCAGAATAGGACGCGCTTTCCATTGGCCGTCACTTTTCATCAACACCAAGCGGAGCGTGCTCGCAGTTTAGCAGATGTTCGATGTGCCTTGAAAATTTTCAACGCTTCTTTAAGTGAACAGTGAAATCGCTATCACTTGTTTCTGCCGGCATATCTAATTTACTTGATGTACATGCAAGAGCTCATGTGCTTCTGATACGAGTGAATATATAACAAGTTATTTGTGATCGGAACAATTTATCGCTAAAGGAGATTCTGCTTTTCCTAGGAATCAAAGACTTAAAAAGGGCTGTGAGATCCCTCAATTGATTTCCTCGCTTAAGCTTCCTTGGGATTTTATTTTGTTCTAAATTTAACAATCATACTTGCAAACAGGCAACCATCCCTTGAAAATATTAAAATATGTAGTTTCTAGCGTGATTGTTTCTACAAATGGTCAACGACTTATGAAACAGGCAGAACCGTGCACCAAACTGATTTTTCCTCGTGTTTCAAAATATAAGTAAGGTTGCATTCCGTTCTGAGACTGATTTTAACTCGAAAGTCTCGAAAAGGAGAAAACCAACGGGGAAGAATAATGGATGAATCGTCACGCTAATGACCATCGTGACAGATTAGACTGTCACGCCTCTGACTGACCAACTTGTTGTAAATTCATATCGGGATTCGGAACTTTCTTGCCGTCCTTAACTTGAATCAGGCCGGGAGTCACGTGCCATTTTATCAAGCACAAAGTCTTACAAATCAGTGTCAACTCCTCGCCTTTTAACCCAGAGAAAGAACCGTAAAAATTCAAGATGCGTCTGCCATGCTTGATATGTTTACTGGACAAGCTCACGAACAAATTGTGCTCGCCTGGAGTCCGTGGACAGTAGAATATCGAATAAGTTCCATTTTTGTTGTCGAGGACTTTAGCAGAAATGACACTTCCGTCTGGAGACTCGAGCTGTATTCCGACTTCCCTGGGACGTCCTCGGCTGTCAGTCGTAGGAATTAGGAATTCCGTCGGGGCCAACTTTACGACAGGTTCACTTGACTTTTTACCCATAGTCAAAGCTGGGAAACTGAATCGACGACCTTTTGCCTTTTTGGTAGACTTTGGATCTTGGTTAAGCGCAAGCGAACTCGAAGAAGAACCTATGCCCGTTTCAGGCTTTTGCGAGTCTGAAGAGAGAGTACTGGGACTGGATTCTTCATCATCTGCTGAAGCAAATGATACAGAACTCCCTCCATTAGGTAGTGAACTCGCTAGTTGCGATTTCTCAGTTGGTTCATTAGCTTTCTTATCGTTAGCTTGCTCTTTGGGTTCATGACCGACACTTATTGAGCCAAATGTGTCTTTTATGGCTTCTACAATCGGCCGCTCATCTGGATCAAACTCTACTTTGACAGTATTCAACCCTCCGTCTGTCTGATTTTCCTGCAATTCGCACAGTCGTTTACAAATTAAGCTATTTACTGCTAGAATGTCCGCATCTTTTCCATGTTTGATAATCTCCTCGGAGAAATCGCAACCATCGATGGTACAGACCAAGTTTCTTTCAATTTCGTCCTTTTGGTTCACTAATACAGAGGCGCGATTATCTCTGATGGTGTTCAGTTCCTTTAGTAACTGATGCTCTTTCTCTTTAATGGCTTGAATAAGGCGACGCGAAGTCCTCCGAATTTGCCACGACACATCATCGATTTTATTCTGCCACCGACCGTAAACCTTGATAATCTCGTACACCGACTTTTGTAAGACAGGAATGTTTTTCTGCGTAGAATCCAGCAACGATAAAAGTGTCGGTTTGAGCGAGTCAACAGCGCTCTTTATTGAAACAATATCATGTCCCTCGTGATCAGTACTTCTTCTACATTCCTTGCACGTTAATAAATCGCAAGTTTTGCAATACATGTCCACACTGTCGCTACAATGTGCAATACAAGGTATTGATGTTGAGTGCTCTATTGGATTTGTTCTATCCACGAATTCTTCAAGAGACAAAATGTCGTGTTCGCGCGTGAATTTTACTCTTCGATGAGCTAGCGTGCAGTCACCGCAAAGAAATTCTTGGCACTCCATGCACCTATGTGAAGCCAGATTTTGGCCGTTTTCACAACCGCTACAATCCTCCTCCCGCTGTCGTAGTTTTTGTCTCTCAAACTCTTCGAGTTTCCTGATAACAATAACATTGGGCTGTAAATCATCCAGATTTCTCGAGGGTAAGTCCACATCTGAATGACAAATCGGACAAAACAGATAATTTTCATTTTCTCCCGTAATTAAACCAATACACTGCTTGCAAAACGTATGTAAACATGGTAGGACTTTTGGCTCTTCGTAAATCTTACTACAATATTTACACCAGATTTCTTGCGGGATTTCCTCTCTGAAAGCTACGGATTTTCGCGGACCGCGTTTTGAAGCCATTTTTTCTGTAAGAAGTGTTCTAGGTAGACTGCTATTAATGATTGTAAGTATTTCTTCCGTTCATCTCCCGTCGCTCTTGGACTCGTGCAACACTTGCCAAGCTCGCGGTGCACACCAGTTAAGTTTCGCAATTGCGGTCACCAAATCCTTGCCGCCAGACCGCTTCCAAAGTGGCTTTTTCGGCGATGCATGCAGCTAAAACGCATTGCTTACACGGATGAACCAAACCTGGTAGTCACCTTGCAAAAATATCAAATTTGTGGAGTTTTGAAGAATACCAGGTGTGGTAGCTATTTGTTTTGGTAAGATAGAGTGTCGCTTCAAGGCTAATTCAACTCCGCTTGGCTTTGAATAATTCAAGAAGCGTTTATCATGAGCGACAGGTACTTCAAGCCAGAAACATAACCAGTCAAACAAAATCAACCAGCCATCGGACGACTATTACCGTTTATGTGTGTCAAATCATGGTTGTGGCTAATCTTCAGATTTGCCGCAGTTGCGTTCACTGGTACATCAAAAGTGCCGTGTCGTGTTTTAGGGCGTCGACATATAGTCTATACTCTCGGGAGATTACGTAGCTGTCCACCGCTCTAATTTTGCGTTGTATTAACTTTTATAACTTAGAATTAATTGTTAAGACAATGATGATTGAGCTAAGCTCTTTGTGAGCTAAACCAAAATAAAGCAACAATTTAGTTGTGGTAAGGTGGATTGTTTCCAGTAAACATTCTAATTATGAACATTGGCACATCTATTAAAAACTATTAAATATAATACGGCAACGACCAGAAAAATGCCGATAAAACAACGGAAAGAAAGAATCGTGTGGCTTATGTATGATTTGGGAACAATCAACTCATTTCCGACAAGCGCGAGTGGAATGATTGTTTTATTTAAGAACGTTAATAAAAAAAAAAAAAAGTCGGTGAGTTTTGATAAAAAAAAAAAAACCAACCAACCAACCAAAATGATGATACACATGCGAGTTCTGATTTAGTCTGTATGATCGTTGCCGTGGTGGTTCAACCAATCAACAATCTGCAGTTAATATGATTATCCATTGACTCGATAGTTTTTAGCCTGTGCCTGGCTTTCAATTTCTTAAGGCGAGCGAAATGCCGGCGCATCATAAAAAATGGCGAGTAAGCGGGCGCGGCAGTTGGGGTCGTCGTACGTTTAGTTTTTCGCTCGCTTCCTGACTAAATGCCTGGAACAGGCCGAGCAGTTTTTGATAACGATTGACTGGTCAAATTAATTCCTTGTAGAAGTGAGTTAATCCTACTGAGATCTTTTGCTTTTTTTCACATTATTATTGTACTGGAGGTTGTCCTCATCTGCCATGTGCCCAGTTGTCTCTCCACTAATAAACTGTAGGCGCATAAGGAAGGTAGGGAATCCTCTCCTTCTATGGTCTTGGCGCGTTCCGTTCTTTCTTCCCATTAGCTGTGTCTGTCTGAGTGAACGCAATGACTATTAATTGCGAACAACTTATAAAGTAATTGTTTTTGTTCGTAGCTATCTTTATTGGCTTGGCTTCGTTTTCGCGTCCTCGTAATTTTTGCTACCTTTTTGTTAGTTAGTCATACATTGTGAGCAAGACTTTTCCCTGATCTTTTAAAGTATTGGTAGCAGATTATTAAAGTGTTTTCCAAAGGATCTCGACATTAGGTTTTTTTTTGGTTTGGTAATTCGTCCGACCAGTATCCGTGATCATCATACCGGTCGTGTTGTCGTACAGATGGCATCCAATCCCTCACTCTGGCCTTCTTCAGTTTCTTCGTTAGTCCCGAAAGTGTGTTTACTTCTCAATATCCCTTTTCCTCCCAAGATCTAAAACCTTATTCTTCTAGCAGATGATCACATATTTCTTTGTTAGCCAGTACTGAGAATATGGTGTTATATCCGAACAAGGATCCCAAGTTTGATACTTTGCTTAATTCCTACGATATGCCTCCTCAATAGTATATTAGGATTGTAAGAAGAATTCATATTCCGGTCATGGAAGGGTCAAGGGTGGGAGGGTCAAGAGTGGGAGGGTCAAGGGTGGGAGGGTCAAGGGTGGGAGGGTCAAGGGTGGGAGGGTCAAGGGTGGGAGGGTCAAGGGTGGGAGGGTCAAGCGAGAGAGTCTTAGTAAGAGAAAATGAACTTTCGAATACAGGTTCTGCTTTTTCGAAATTTGCGTCTTACAAAACATCTTATACAAATTTAATTCAGACGTCCGTATCCGTGGCTATGATTACTGTTATAAGATTTATGACGCTCGGTTGCGTCTAATATCCAGCAGAGGGCTTTACTAATTTGGCGGCTCTTAGTCAGAGAAGACGAACGGATGAGTTTGGGAAAGAAAATCGGCGAATTGTTTAGGAAGAAGCAAATCAGCCCCTCATTTCCTCTGTAGCCTGCTCCACTTTTACGCTCGTGCCCACACCGACGTTCTTTCAAGCTAGCAGAGTTCGGCTGACTACGAACTTCTGTGCGGAATGTCCTTTCGATGGCATGCTAAGACTCTGGTCTGCTCACAGGTTCTTCTGATGAGCGCTGCGAAACGAGCAGTAAAGCGTGAGCGTTTCGAACCGGCGAGAATGCGAGCACGCAAGAGGTCCTCGAGGGCTCTACCAGGAAAAATCACTATTGCCAGACCGCTTACAGACCTCTCACGTGCAACGCAGAGGCCAAACGTCGGGCATGCGCGAGGGGATCAATTCTGGCCGGCTGTGTGCCAATTTCCCGCTCAAAATTACACACAAATCTGTGAAAGGAGACAGAAGTAAGAAGAAGGAAAAGAAGATGGAAAATTCGAGACTTTCCGAATACAAAGCTCATTCCAGTATGGGTATCCTGTTTATTTACCTCTCTATTTTGAGCTTTACCGAAAAGGTACACGCTCTTGTGAGGAAACTTGGTTCTGACAGCGTGAAAGCACACCACTTACAACGATTGCATATACGCAGATTCTTGACCGCTGTGTTCTCACTCGCTCGCTTCATTTACCAGCTGGGCCCACGCGGGCTCCACGCGTGCGCCCACGTTAAATATGAAAATAAAAACTAGTTATAATATTAATTTATGTTAATCATGTGAAGTGGAGGCAAAATAATTCGGCTTAGTTTAGACGTAAAACTACTTATGCGCTAAACTTAATATTTCTATTGATTTTCCTTCATCTTCTGCTGCTGGGAGAGAAAACGGAAAATGACTTCCAGTCAAGGTTTCAGTCATTCCTACAGCAAAACGAATTTGTCATCCCCAAATAAGAAAAAACGCCAAATACAAATCCCCTGATATCATTACGCTACACAGCATACATGATACTTTGAAAGGAGCTTGGTCCGATCATATCGTCGATCGTCCACCGAAAGGCTCTGAATTCTCTGTAAAATACCGGGACCTGTTTTAGAATAAACTTTGGAAGCTGTGTGAAGTCGCGTGATTAAGCTGTCGTTAAAAATAGCTTGGTCGCGCATGAGTAGTTTTCTTTCGTTGACTGATGAATACGGCACCAGTTTGAGGAGTAGCACATGATCAGTTGTCTTGTGCGTAACGCAACCTTGAATTTCCCTCACATGCAAATTTTGACTGAAGACGTCGACGTCGCTGTGAATTTAATTGTTCTGATTTGAATATAACAACGCCAGACTTTTGAACCGATTGATTCGCACAAAAAACACAATAACGCTGTCTTAATAACTTTCAAGTATCGATGGCTCGCCTTAACCGAGAAGATCGAAATTTTACAGGATCGCTGCCAGATTTAAAAGCCTCTGTTAAGGCTACCGAACACCAAACGAAAGTGATCGACAGAAAAATATTTATTGTTGAAACACATTTTCCCAAGGTGGCAGCGATGCTTCAACGCTACGCAGTAGGAACAGCCAAATTACGAAACAAGGGCGACGAGCTGGCCAAAACAATAGCGGCCTATGCGGAAGAAGAATCTCCTTCATTGAAGCAAGCCCTTACAACTATGTCTGAATGTTTGTCCGCCATTCAGGATCAACGAGACGCAGAGGTTAGTAAAATAGAAGAGAAACTCGTTCAAGGACTCAGCGTGTACGACACGAAATGCAAACAGGCTAGGAACGACGTGAGGGTTAGTTCGTCTCTGTCTACAAGGGAGGTGAAGTCATTCGAGAACCTCGAAAAAGCGCAGATGAAATCCACTGATCGAACGCGGATCGCCAGGGCTCAGGCTGAATTTCAGAAGGCGTCTGGCGAAGCGAACCGATCACTGAGGGTTTTACGCGAGCAGATGAACGAGTTCGAAAGTCAAAAAATGCGGGACGTGAAGCAGATTTTCTCGGGGTTTGTGGTGTGCGAGATGGAGCTGTTAGCCCGGTCAATGGAGCTGTATACCCGCGCGTATCAAGGTTTGATGAATATTATCGAAGAGGAAGATTTAGAGGAGTTTAACAAATCCATGACTTTAAAGCCAACCCAGTGGGGTTCAGCACCAGCTCTGTCTAATGCCGGAAGATATGTAAATCCAGGAAATGGTAGAGAAAATGTTTTGGAAGAAGTTGAGGACGAAAGCGACGAACTCAATCGTACAATGTAAACACTGAGATTCAACGGTTCGAAGAAAATTTCCATTTAACTGCGCATAAATTAACCTTAAAGATATGACTTCAAAAGATACACGTTGCCATATGAAGAAAAAAATATAATTCATGATCATAGGTTTTACTCAGAAAAAGGAGAGTACACTTATTCTTTGGTTGAAACTTTTGGATTATATTGAATAGAACGATGCTATGCTGTAAAATTATTTACACCTCGAAAAAAGGAAAATGATACGCTAAAAGAAAAGTTAATATAAACGACCGAATTATTTATACAAGGAGCAACTATTGGAAAAAGAAAAGAAAAGTTTGCTTTACGCAATCGTGAAGAAACAACGAAAGTTTCTAGAAGAAATATTTATTTGTTGTAAGTATCATTATGGAATCTTTCAAAGACAAAGAACAGGAGATAACGATATGGAGGAGTTATAACCACTTTTGCCTTTTGAAGTCATATAGATAACGGCGCCAGCGGTACACCGAGAAAGAGGGAAATTTTCGCGCGCTCTGGCGCAACTGCGACTCGCTCACTTGTCCGACTAACCATAAAGTGAGAGTGGTGAGGCCCAAGCCGAAATTTTTGCGCTCCCTTTTTCTAAGCTTAAATCGAGAAATTTCTTAGGCCTTTTATCCAAACTGCACGACAATTTCTTCCAGCTTGCTCAATCATAGGACATAATAGTATCACATCCTATTTAGCTTGGGTGTCATGTATCGGTTGTCGGGCCGTCACCTCAGATTGTTTGTTCAGAGAAATATAGGAATTCACCCCAATACACTACCACCACCCTACTGAGGATTATTTTGCCCTTCATCTCACCACGTAACACGGCAAAAATAAAGATTTTAGGGCAAAGGTGGCCGGGAGGGAACAATTTTTCTTATTAAATCTCTTAATGGCTCACACTTATTTTCCTTACCTACAACATAAAAATAGAAGTACACACACAAGAAAACGTACACACACAACTACAATATAAAATTAAATACAACGAAATTATGGTCAAACCCCTATTAAGAGGTCATTTAACTCTCCCCAAGTGGAACGGCCACTTGATTTGGCGATTTACATTGACAGCAGGATAAAAGCAAAAATTTAAAACTGATTACAAGTTTTACGCTCATTAAATTTACAAAAACCCTCTTCTTAGCCAGAGAGTGGAGTGTAAAAGCTTCTTCAATGTCTTTCCTCTTTTCCTCTAACTTTTTCGTACAAAAGGGAAAAAAATTATATTTGAAATTCGCCGATTCGTTCTTGGTAGTTCTTTCTGTAAAAAACTGTTACCATGGAGAGTACTTGAAAAGCTTGTGAACTGAAAGCACGAGATGTTTTTTCACGCGCTAATTTTTAGTGATTAAAACCACAACTCAAGGGAACAAAACAGTCGGAAAAATGGATATACAGCTCAATACAAAGGAAAACTAACATTTTCATTATCAACGAAATCAGTATGCTGTAAATAATTAATGAAAGTGATATCTAATAAAAGAAACAGTAGCCTATCATTTTCCACGGGCGTACTGTAAGACAAGATGCTTTAGTAACGGGTCATTACAAACAACGTTCCGGAAATATACTTCAGCCCTCAGTTCTTACGTTCGATCAAAAATTTGAATCTTGCCCTCCCAGTTCACGGTCTGTATATCAACTTCGGCCTAAATTTTATAAGTTTTCCATCTGCAATTCTTGTTTGTTTTATTCATCCTTTGCCGGCGTTGATCCGTGTTGGGGTTTTATTATCTCTCTGGTGTTTTTATAACTTTATCTGAAATTTTAAGTTTTACTTAAATAGTTTGGCTATTGGAAAAAAGGGTATTCGGATTATCATGACGTATTATGCAACTTTCTCTCTACAGTCTCACAAAATTTTGCTAAACTAAAATGGATCCAGAAACTTTGGCGGTTAGTTTCGACCCAGATACAGCAAATAGCATGGACGATATTGACAAAGAAATTTTGCAGCTGGCTTTGAAACAAGTGGAGAAAACTTTGCAAGAACTTGGTGTGAGAGTATCACAAGGGTACAAGCTTGGATATGAACTGGGGTACATCAAAGGAGTATTAGAACACGTTTTGAAGACAGTACCAGAGTCAGAGAATAAGGAGGCTTACATGAAGGGGTACGTGAATGGTTATCTGCAAGGAATGCTTCATTCTTTCAAGCAAGGAGAACTTCAGCGTGGAAATTGTTCTGATAATAACCGTTACTAGAAACCATACGTTGATTCCTATATATACCACTTGTCACTGTATTTCAAAACAAAAAAAAAATTATAGTTTAACGTCCGTGTTTTTGAATTTTTCCATGGACAACCGTAATGTTGGGCATATAATCAGTGTCGTTTTAGATCGATTAATCTTTCAGATTAGTATGTTATGCAACGATGGAAGTTGGCTGTCGGTATTTCACTGAGGAATCGTTCCAACCCCTTCTCTATCTAATACAGCTCGTTCTAGAAAGGATGAAAATTTACAGAATTCATATTCTTGACATAAATCGTAGTAATAAACATTTGCCACTTTCAAACCAACCGAACCATTTTCTAGGTTCACTACTCCTAAGAGGAGTTGTACAGGAAGAAATGCATAACTCGCTAAAATGGCCTCGATGTAACAAAGTAAGCAGTCACAAAACAAGCAATGCACTGTGAAAGTAAAGTGAGGTATTTCTATTGAGAATTTGACTGTATTTTTTTATTCCTAAGATTTCCATACAAACTCTTATATTTTCATCATGACTATTATTACGCAAGGTGATCATCTCACAGCTGGAGCTTAGGCTGCCTGTAGACTACATAGGTGTCAGAAATGAACGTCGTTAGACATATTTGAAGGTCATTATTTTGACGCTGAGACTCGGCCATCTGTAGTTAAAAAAAACCACCACTAAAAACTTGTAAAGTGCTGATGATCTATGAATCAGAATGAACTAAAACTATTTCATCCAAAGAAACTCAATCACTCTATCGCAATTTTCAAAAGAGTACTATTACATATACTGTACTCAAAACATAAACGATAACATAGTTCATTAGTTTTCCTTGATCGTGAATCCATGGTACTGTTTAAAAATAGGTAAAACATGGCTAATGATACATCTCTACAGCGCCTTTATTTTAACTGTCTTACTTTCAAAACTTCAACTTCGAGCCGCTTGCGCCAAATATGAACGTTGCATCATATCTTCCTCTATGCATTGTGCCTACAGTGTTCGTTTTTCCTGTCCAGCAGCACAAACTTTCGGATGAAACCAAACAAATTCGCATTCGTGGAAATGAATCGACGGGAAGCTGTTTAACAATCTATGTTTCTTAGATGGATAGAACGATTCGATTCTACTTAAACTCTCGTCCATTCTGTCGTTTCTCGTCTGATCCGCTCAATTCCAGACCTCCATAAAGATTCATTAAAGAAAGTAAAGACAATCCAATGGCAGAGATGTCATATATTACATAAACGTTTATGTCTGTAGATGAAAAACAACCACGTTTTTCTCCTTGTATGTTCAGTACTACCAGTACACTTGTAAAGCTTCCTATGCGCGATTAGGTTAGTGTCCGTTTTGAAGATAATAGTCAGCACGTGTCTCGTTTTAAAATGCTGCATCTACACATTTGTACCCTGTATGTGTCCATAGTTATGTTACCGTAGAGTGATAGAGGCAGGCTCTCCTTTTATGACAGGTGGATATACTCCATGATAAAGATCGTACTCTCGTCGCAGAAAGGCGAAAAAAACATCAGAAGTCAGTAGAATCTGCGATTAAAAGATAAAACAGCGTTGGTTGCATTTCTGACAGAGTTAGACGAGTTGGATGCTGAAAACCAGAAGGGTAAAAATATTTTTTGTTGTTGATTAGGAAAACTGCACAAAAGGACATGACAATCAAACCCTTTAGATGAATAAATGGGGTAAATAGCTGAAGAAACTGTGGTGCTGCGTCGGTGGGAGAGTATAAGAAGTCTTTCGCTCTGATGAAGGGCTAACGCTCGAAACGTCAGCTTTAAAACTCTTTACGGTGGC